TGTAACACAATTTCATGAACCAAAATCGATAAGAGAAGGTTACAGGAGAGGAAACAGCACGTACCAACCACTCCTTATGACCTTGAAAGCCTTCAGTTTTAAGCTTCTTAACAGCAACGACGATCCCTGAACCCGGTTTCGAAGCAGTAAACGTTGTTCCATCAATCCATCCTTTAAACACATAACCAAAACCTCCTTCACCTAAAAGACTATCAGGTCGGAAATTCCTAGTAGCGTTCTTGAGCTCGTTAAAAGTGAAAGCTTTAAGATTTGGTGATGACAATATCTCTCCTTCTGTTCTTGGTGTAGGTAAAGACTCCAAACTACTGTAAGAATTTATGCTTAGGCTTGAAGGCACTGTGGAACGGCTTGTCTTGCTAGAAACTCTTGAACAAGACGAAGCTAAAAATAGAACCAAACCAAACATATCTTAAATCAGACTGAAAATTTTCAATCTCAACATTAACCAATTTCAACCATCTTGTATATTCTGAAGTCTTTTTGCAATCTTATAAACAGCTAAATCTTGAGAATTAGCACTGTGAGTTTATGAAGTAACAATATCGATTCAAACACTAACATTTAAACCCAAAATTACTCAGAGATAACTACAAACAGAGGAATCAGACATGTGCAGAGATGGATACTTGGAAAGGTTTGATTTTTGAAGATCCCAAACAAGAACAACAGTTTGAAAGTAGTGAATTAGGCTTGGAATCAACGATTTGAGACTAACCCAGAAAATCAATTGAAGAACCCATGTCAAGAATAAGGAGAAATCTCCCAAAAAGGAAGAAACTTTTGAGCTATGAAGCAACAACAAAGGAACTTACCAGAATTAGCTTGAGGACTATGGCTGCTACTATCCACTTTAGCTGATGAATCTAAACAATTACCCATTTTTTGTTTAGAACAGAGATTCAAAAGAACATATGAAAATNGAATCCGACGAGCTTTTTCCTTTCTCAACGACGCAAAGTCTGAGAGTAATTGAAATTGGAATGATTATAATACTAAATAATTAATTCCAAAAAAGGAAGATTTTGAAAAACAAAATACAGAATGAGAGAAGAAGAAGAAACGAGGAACGTGAAAGGACACAGAGAAGAAGCACAGCTCACCATACAATACAAAAAGTCACGGTGGTGTGAAAGTACGTTATCTTAAATGACCGGAATACCCTTGCTTTTCGGCGAATCTTGACGGTTTATGCGAAGGGATAATTTAGTAATAATTGTGTTTTACGATTAGATCTGGTTACGTGTTTGCTTGCGTCAGCAAATCCACGTCAGATTGTAAAGATTATTATTTATATACCTTT